TGGAAAATCGATTCAACTGGAAACTGCAAGCGGCAGCGACAAACCGAGCCCACCAGGGGCGGAGTAGCTAGGTCCTCCTGCCGCCTTGGGGGGGGGAAGGGGCGCAGCGGCAGTGACGAGGCATGCTGAAACAGGGAGGGCAAAGGGTCGGGGTAGGCGACGGCAGCGCGGGAGCTACAATCGTGGGAGTTGGTTTCCGAGTGCGGCCGTGGCCACAGTCGCCTAAGCGGGATGGCGCACCATCCCCACTGCCTGTAGGAAACCCCAGTCACTACCCCCAGTCCCACTAAGGGCACCCTCGCCCCCCGATGGGGGCGAAGGACTCCCATGGAGAAACTGGGGGTAGCACCGGGGTTTCCACCAAGTGTGGGGAAATGCGCGCCCTCTCGTGGCGGTGGCTACGGCGTTGCTTCGAGCCCACCGCCCGTATATTTTCACCGTTCCCGCTAAATGGCGGCTGCCGCGCGGCTAAGGTGGTAAAGGGAAGCTCTGCTCTTCTTCCAGAGGCGGGGGTAGACGACGAGCGCACCCGCGATGGGGGATAGGCCGGCTAGGTTGCCAAAGTGGGCGGCACGAGATGGCATCCAGATGCCTAACGCAAGGGCGGCGGCTGCGGGCCAACCGTGCGCGAGCCAGTGCGCTCGCCCGCGCAGTGTTCGGCGGCCCCCATGGCCGTCGACGCGGCGTCCGACAGTGTTGCCCTTTCGCCCCTCCCCCGCGATTGGCATCGATCTATGCAAACGCCTCGTCTCACGCATTTCGTGCTTGCGCTTTCGGAAGAATGGCGCGACGGGCAAGGCTCGGCATTCGACCTATTTCAACTTCGTTGTGCTCCGTTTGTGTAACCGCGCTGCTCTTCTTCGGCGCTCTGCCGCTCGCTACTTGGCGATCCACCGCCCGCGCCGCGAGGCTCGCCCCCAAAGGGCGAGGATGCCGCGCGTTTGCGCCGATTGTCCTGCACCGGCGATCGGGCCCCCTGAACCCCTGTAAGCGCGGTGCGTTCTTTCTGACCAACGCGCGTGCAACCGCGATAACTTTGCTGACTTTGTCTCAATCACCTGCCCGCGATGCCGGTGGCGTCGCGCTCGCGGCGGCAAGCCCATCCGCTGTCTTCCGCGCGTTTAGCGGCGGATTACTGCGCCGCGGCGCGCCGGCATGCCGCATGCGCGGCAGTGGGTTTGCCCTCCGCAGCCTACCGCGCACGGAGCGCAGGGGCGCTTCTCGATGGTGCCATCAGCGACCTGGTCTCGGCGACAGTCCGCTCCGCGAATTCGCGCGGCTGCGGCGACGTGGGCGCAAGCTGCGGCAACTGCATTGCCGAGCTTTCGTGGCAAATTAATGGTATTTCTCGCAGACGCCGCAGGGGCATGTCTCTCCGCTTCATCTCGGTTGTCGTCCACTTTCTTGTCGGCCACATCGATCAACTGGCCAAACTAGGCGCATTCAGCAACCACTTCATGTCTGATCAAATTCCGACTCATAGCGTTAACCGCACCGTTGCTCTGCAGCTGGAAATTTCACTCGGCAGCCACTTGCTCGCACGCCGCGAGTCTTTCGCGCGAGCATCTGGCATGCATCACTGCGCCAGGCTCGCAGACATGCTGCAGCGGATTACTGCGTGGATTATGCGTGGATTTATGCCCGAAGCGGCCCGTGAACAAAAACAATGCGCGTTTCGCCTGGAGTTCTTAATCTTCATTTGTGGTCACAAAATCGCGCGGAATCCACCTCCACATCCGGAGCACCATTCTCCAGGACACCCCGGGCCCATCCAATTGAAACCCTAGCGAAATCAACTCTGAGACGTTGGCGCCATGACGTGCGTTGGAATGCCCAATAAGCAGCTCCGTGCGCAGAGATCACGTCGTCATTTGCAGAGGCTTGACCATCCGCGTGGCCTGGTTGATCTGGGAGAGCGGCGCGGCCCATCATCTTGCATCTCGCGGCGGTAAGGATTGCCGCCACTTGACCACTAGTCTGCTCCAGCTCATTTGTTTGGACCAGCCGTTGAGCTCGCGCGACTTGCGCGGGGGCCAGCAACTGGCTATCGCGCTGCAAACTGATGACCTCATTGCGCCCGTGATCCTTTTCAATCACATTGAGTCGGCAGCCCAGTGCCGCGAGCTGTTCATAAAGGTGGGCATAGCTATTCCGCCACCGTTGCTGGACCTGCACATGGCCCCTGGCGCGCTGCGCCGCCACGACTTCAACTGCTGCGCGACGACGGACCAGACTGTTTGCCTTCAATGGCCAAGTGGACCAAATGCCGGGCTTCTTCTGCGGCGGCCCGAGCTAGCTGGTGACCGCGCTCATTGTCTGCTCTCGCGCGCTCGATGAACGTGCCGCGAAGAGCTCGGGGGGCATCTCCCCCTCGCCCTTGAAGAGCCGAATGTCGCGCCTGCATTGTTCCCCAAGTGCCGCGCGCGCATTCAGCAGCTCGCTCGGCAGCGAGGGCGCGTCGGCTCCGCGCTCATCTGGTCGGCGGGGCCCGACGGCCCCATCCTGAAAGCGGCTGACATTCCGGCGGCACGGGGCTGCCCCGCAGCGTCGCGCGCGGCGCTGGCTTGCCCGGCGCGTCGCCCGCGGCGGAGGGTCGCCCGAGCCCCGAGCGCGTCGCCCGCGGCGCCAAATTGCCCTGGCGCGTTGGCCCCGCTATCCCGGGCACTCGCGGGCGCCGGCGCGTCGACGCGCTATGAAGCCGAGGTGCGTCACTAGTTTTTCGTGCCGACCCGGCGGCGGCAGCGACGGCTAATCGCTCGCAGGTGCAATGCTATCGCGGGCACCTCGTCGCTTGGCAGGTCTCAGCTGATCGATCTTCGGGTCGTTCCACCCCTTGTAGACGACTTGTCCGCGGTAACCCACCGTCTGGGCTGATGAACCACGTCTTGGGATATTTAAGCCACTGGGCCGATCCCCCCCTCACCCACGAGCATCGTTGGACTCGGGCCCTGGCGCGCCTTGAGGAGGCGGCCAGGTTCGCGAAAAACGTTTCGAGGTTGCGCTTAACCGTGACTCTTGCAGACGCCACGTTTGCAATCGCCCCTCGCGACGACGGCGAAGTCGGGCGCATGGGCCGCTGCGCGCGCGACCCCATTCGGCGCCTCCTCTCGGGCACAAGTTCCACGGCCCCAACCGCCTCGCGAGCGGCATCAACAGTGGGGGTGACGCGGAAGGGCGAAGAGGGGATGGAACAAGATGGACGAGGGACCCCCGAAGCTGAGTGAGACGCGGCCACTCTCCAAAAAGAAAGCAGGCACCACATGCGAGGTGCAAAACGCACCTTTTACGCATTCATGGCACGTGGCCATCTTGTCGCGGACAATCATGGCGGCGGAGAATGTATACTTTAAGCTTTGGCTGAGGTCGGTCGGCTTAGTGGGTGGCGAGCCTTTGATTTCTGCGCTCTTTCCCGACGTTGGCCTCGACGCCTCGTAGGTGCTGTCGCAACTCCTGTAGTTCGGCTGCTACTCCTTCTCTTGCGGCCCCCACTTCGTTGTTGATCTGGTCGTCGAACGTTGACGTAACCATTGTCCTTTTGACCATGACGTCGTAAATGGGACACCGGTTGTCTTCCTCCAGCGTGTTCAGGAAGGCGCCTGATTTTGGTTGACTCCCTCGCTCCGGTCTGTCTCCCAGGCGCCGGTGTTGCGGCCCTCCCCGGTTGGCCTTCCCTGTTGGATGACTCCGCCTCGTCATGGGCGGCCCCTGTGTCGTTGTTGGCGTCGTCTTTGGCGTGGTGGAGGGTCTTCCTGATGATGTGGAATTCGTTGGAATGTTCCTCCGTGGTGGCCACGCGAACTTCTACGTCCTTGTGGCGGACCCTGGCGTTCTCGAGGTACTCCTCCATAACTTTCTTGCTGCGCTGGAGCTCCCTGGCCTGTTGGGCCGTGGATGATCGTGACTCTCTTGGAGGCAATGTGGGTCTCGGCCCCGCTGAATCTGAAACCTGACGGCGCTGTTCTTCATGATGGCCGCGACTTCCACACGACGTTCCGCTGCCGTGGTATTAATCCACATCCTCCTTAAGACCGGGTTCGATTGGTCGCCTTTCCCGCTCGGACCGACTGGGAGCGTAAGTCGCGCGCATGGGCATGACGTGGTTGATGGTCCTGGCGATGTGGTCGTTGAAGTCCTGGTGCCCCCCTTGTTGCTTGTTCTTGGCAAAGGCCTCGTCTTCCTGCTGGGGCCGTTGATACATTTTGCCTTGCTTGTCCTGCAACTTTCCCTTCTACGAGATGCCGTTGTCCTGGTCGTGGTCGTCGCACGGTTTGGAAAAAGCTGCCCTTGCCCTTGAACTTCGTGCCCGTGTTGTTATGTTCAACGCCCTCGTTCCAGCATGCGTCGGGATGTTGAGCTGCCAATTGCGCAGTCCACTGGTCGTTCTTCCACCTTTCTAGCCCCGCACCAATCGCAAGAAAAGTAAGTCGCGTTGGTGGGCCCCTTTTCGGCGCACGGCTCGATGTTGATCGCTACGGCGCGACTCTGAGTACGGTGCGATAGGCTGCTCGTTCTCGACGTTCACGTCCGTGCAACGATGGCTCCGATGTGGAAGGTCTGTGTGGTGGTGTGTACCGATGTGGCAGTGCAGAAGAAACTGGAGAAGTTCAAAAGCAATGTACGTGGAGAGATTGAAAAGGATGTAGCAATGGAGTTGGCTCTGGCACGCGGGCGCTCACCTGAGGGCGTGCGGGCACCGCGCTGGCTGCTGGCCAGGTCCTGTGGTCACGCGGTTTCTCCTCCTCCTCCTCCTGCTCCTCCTCATCCTCCTCCACCTACTCCTACTCCTCCTCCTCCTCCTCCTACTTCTCCTCCTCCTCCTCCTTCTACTCCTCGTCCTGCTCCTCCTCCTCCTCTTAGTCCTCCTACTCCTCCTCCTCGTCCTCCTCGTCCTCGTCCTCGTCGTCGTCCTCTTCGTCCTCCTCCTCCTGCTCCTCCTCCGCCTCATCCTCCTCCTCCTGCCTCCTCCTCCCTCCCCCTCCTCACGGCGCCCCCGAGCGGGCCAAGCAGGCCGAGCGAGGCGCGGCCGTGGCGCGCCCGGGCGGAGAGCGCGCGCGCGGAGGGCGCCGCCGCCGCCGCCCTCAGCCCCTCGGCGACGGGGACGGCGCGCTGGAGCCGGAGTTGGCCGGCCTCTCCGCGCAGGGGCGCGCCGCGGCCGCCGCGGGGGGGGAGGAGGAGGAGGAGACTCTGGAGACTCTGCTTAATGGCGTAGCGATATGGGAGGAGGAGGAGGAGGAGGAGGAGGAGGAGGAGGAAAGGGGGTCGATCCGATCATTGTTGGACGCACGCAGCCCTCGACATTGGCACCGTGAGGCCCTGGGCGCCGCACTAGGCGCCCAAGAACCTGGTGCCCCGCACACTCGGGCCGGCGGGAGAGACGCCCGAGCAGAACGGGGGGCAGGATCAGTCAGCATCGAGCTGGCGACCAGGATCGGATAGGAACGTGCATCGGCTCGGGCCCCATCGGCGCGGAATCGCAATCGGTTCGGATCGACGGCGCCTGGATGCACAACAGCGGCATGCAAGCACTCAGCCGAATCGGGTCGCCCGAAAATCGGAATCGAATCGAATCGGGCCGGCCAGAGCCGCTATCACATCGAATCGAGCGGATCGAAATGGGTCCTGGGGGGGTCGATCGGGGGCTCTTGAGAAGAGGCAGCTACGTCCACGCTTCGCGCTACAGCGCCTCGCGAGCGCGCCAACAGGCTCGCGCGCTCGGGCCGCCTCCCTGAGGGAGCAGAGAAGGACGAGGAGAATGAGAACGAGGAATCGCGAATCGCGAACATCGACTCGAACAATGAACTTCGCGCGCCCTCGTGGCCGCCCCCGTCTTGAGCGCTGGCCACCGGGGCCACGCCCATCGGAGCCGCGCCCTAAGGGAAACGGCAGAGGGGGTGGGCCTTCTCAGGAGGCTCGGGAGGCCTCTACACTCAAAAACACTAATAAGGATGCGCGGTAAGGACGCAAGACCCTTGGAAGCCGAAGTTGGGATTTTTAGGGCGGCGGACGACGTACACCTCAAGGACGCAAGAGCAAGGAAGAGCAAGGACGCAAGGGTGCCCTGAGCAAAGTCGCGCGACCTTATTAGGGTTTCTGACTGTAGACTTCTGAGAAGCTTCCTGAGCCCTCGCCGAAGGCGCAGAAGGCTTCGCAGAAGGCGCGAAGGCTTCCGAGAAGCCCCACCGCGTTCCGAAAAGGCCTGCCCCCTCTCACGTCCCCCCTCGGCGCGCCGCCGAACCAAGCTCGGCGAGCCCACATTTCGCCGTGTCACGAGGTACCGGATATTTCAGCGGCGCGTGAGACATCATCATCATCATCATCATCATCATCATCATCATCATCAACATCATCATGTTCATCATGCTCATCATCATCACCATCACAATCATCATCATAATCATCATAAGCATCGTCAGTATCATCATCATCATCATCCTCAACAGCATCATCACCAAGACCACGATCATTATTATCATCATGAGCAGCGACAGCGTCATCATCATCACCATCACCACATTAACATCCGCATGAACATCATGTTCATCTTCATCATAAGCATAATCATCATCATCACCACCATCAGCATCATCAAACTCAGCATCAGCATCATCATGATCATCATGAACATCATCATCATCATCATCACCATCACAATCATCATCATAATCATCATAAGCATCGTCAGTATCATCATCATCCTCAACAGCATCATCATCACCATGACCACGGTCATCATTATCATCATGAGCAGCGACAGCGTCATCATCATCACCATCACCATATTACCATCCGCATGATCATCATGTTCATTTTCATCATCAGCATAATCATCATCATCACCACCATCAGCATCATCAAACTCAGCATCATCAGCAGCATCAGCATCATCACCATCATCATTATCATCCTGCTCCTCATCCTCATAATCATCACCATCATCAGCATCCTCATCATCACCCTCGTCCTCAACCTCATTATCATCATCGTCCTCATCGTCCTCATCATCATCGTCATCGTCATCGTCATCGTCATCGTCATCAGCATCAGCATCAGCACCATCATCATCATCATCAGCATCATCATCATCTTTTTCCATCACCATCACCACCGTCATCATCATCATCATCATCATCATCATCATCATCATCATCATCAACACCATCAACACCATCAATATCATCGTCATGACCAGCACCACGGGTGGGTGGGTCCTTGTACACGTCTCTGCCAGGGCGCCAGCAATCGAAACATGGACACTCATATCAAAACTGCGAGACCCTTTTCGCCCAGGTACCCCGGAGCCCCGTGGGATAGACTCGAAAAACACAGAGCACCCCCAAGTGGAGGAGCCGAACATACATCGGGAAGACGTCGGGTTCGGGGTATTAGGGTTGGCCTGACGAAGCCATGATAAAAATAAAGAGACAAATCCTGAAACTTGACGCGAACTTCCGCTGAAAACATCCCACGGAAACTGGACCGTCAAATCCAAGACGCGCCCGTCAGGAAGCGTCGGTAAACCCGAGTTCCGGCGTACTCGACCCTTACAGCCAACCCGAATAACAAGGATGCGCGGAAAGGATGCAAGAGCCTCGGAGGGCCATGCCGATGCTCTGCGAGCGGGGCGCGGCCAGCGAGAGCGGCCACCCTCCCCACCCCTCCTCTCAGCCTGTGTCCTCCTCTCCTCCCCTCCTCCAGCTCCAACACCAAGGCCCGAGACCTCCCCTCCTCCCTCCTCCCCCCTCGAGCAGCATTTTCCCCGGCGCTCCGGCGCCACCGCTGGGCTTTACGACTGATGGGCGCCTCGCCTCGCCTCGCCCCACCCCTCCTCTCTTGTTACGCGCTCGATCCCTTCTGGTGGCTCCCTCTCTACCTCCCCACTACTGCCGGGCGCTCGTCCAGGGCGAGACGGGTCCTGCTCAGCATGCAGCATGCTGTGCGTCTTCGCCCCAGTCTTTCCGTCCCCCTCTCGACCCTCCCGATCGATCCTCGATCCCTCAGCCGATCGATCCTCGAGCCTCGATCGATCCTGGATCTTCGATCGATCCTCGATCATTCCTCGATCGATCCTCGAATCCTGCATCGATCGACCCTGGATCGATCCCCCAGTCAATCGATCCTCGGCAACCGACCCAGCGATCGATCGATCATCGCGACCTCGCGAGGACGGCACAGCCGGCACGGTCCCGCCGACGGGGCCTCTGACCCGTTCTCCTCGACCGGCTTAGCGCCTGGCGGGGCGGAGCTGGGCGGCATCAAGCTGGGGCTGCCCCCACACCACCTCGGGAGCCCTCCTCTTTCCTTGCTCCCTCCTCCCTCCCTTCTCCTCGCAGCGTCCTCCTCCTTGTCCTCCTCCCTCCTCCTCTGCCTCCTGCTCTGCCTCCTCCTCCTTCCACCCCCCCTCGCCCTCCCCCTCCCCCTCCCCCTCCCCCTCTGCCTTCTCGTCTTGCTCCCCCTCCTCCTCCTCCTCCTCCTCCTCCTCCACCTATTTTCCACGAAGCAATCGAAGCGAGCCCAATGTCCTGAGGACAGAAAGAAGGCGCTGGATCGAAGGCTGGAGGGAAGATCCCGTCTCCGCGGGCTCCGTACTTTTCCCCTCCCTTCCCTCATCCCGTTGCCTTCAGCCATCGAGCCGCCTGCATGGATCCAGGACTGTGTAAGCATTCATGTTTTTTTGCCGAGCGAGTTTCTTGGACGTGCTTCCTGTGCCTCACGTGCGTGTAGTGCGTTGTACGGTGCGCATGCACGTGTCGCGCAAGCTGTGCACGCGTGTCCCCAGCACGACAAAATGCTGCGTGTCCTGTTGCGCCGAGATTGTTCCCGTAGACTCGGAACGTACGCTGGCGAATTGGTCGACGCCTCGAAGGCTGGGGATACGGCGTTGTGCTGGAAACTTGCCCACTTGCTGGCTCAGAGCAGTCTAGAACCGAAGCAACGCAATTTCTGTGCGACCCGCACGAAGCTGGAACAGCACACGTGGCAAGATGTCCTGTCCAAGCCTGGCGAACTGGGGGGCTTCTCGGCTCGGCCCCCACCCCAAGCGGGAGAGGTGGAAGAGAAGAGCTCTGACGACCCTAGGCCTGGTCAAACTTCTGCCACGCTGCAGCAGGGCCAGGACGACCTCTGAACCGTGCGAGCACGCACAAAGCGAGCACGGTTGCGCAGGCAGTTGGGAGACGGGAGCAGTTTCAGAGCGGGCTCAGGGCATGAGGGCCTTGCCGCCCACTCAGACGATGCAGTCCATCACATCAGGTATCCAACCAGACTGGGTAAACTCTAAGGGTTGTTAGACCCCCTCCCCGCAATAGGGGTAACTAATCATTTTTGCTCGGCGGCCGTATTTTGAAGAACTGGGGCCCCGCCAGTGGCGGAAAATAATTACTCACCCGCGGCACCCGACACACAACGACGACGACGACGACGCGATGAAAGACGAGATTGTCAGCAACGCCTTCGGCGAAGAATGCGTCGATCAATATTGCAATCCAATTTCGAACATGTCCTAAATGCCTGTCGCGCAGGGTAGCATCCAAACATTATCCAGCCCGCCCAACAGCAGAGGGAACAACGATCCCCGCCGCGACGACAACGCTTAAAATCACAACAAGGACTACGAAGTCGATTGCGAATACAACTGCGCCGGCGATTACAACGAAGATCGCGACTAAAATCACAAAAGCAGGTTCCGATTGCAACCCTCATGAGAAGATGTTCACGAAACCTCTCGCGCGCAGTGTAGCGGACAACAGAAATCTCCCTGAGAGAGAGACCTCCAAACATTACCCCGCCCGCCAACAAATGGATGGAAAATAATTTCCGCCGTGACGACGTAAACAGCAGTAGTAGTGGTAGTAGTAGTCGTAGTCGTAGTAGTAGTAGTAGTAGTAGTAGTAGCAGTAGTAGTAGTAGTAGTAGTACTAGTACTAGTAGTAGTAGTAGTAGTAGTAGAAGTAGTAGTAGTAGTAGTCGTAATATTGGTAACAGTAGTCGTATTCAAAGTAGCACTAGTAGTAGTAGTAGTAGTAGTAGTAGTAGTAGTAGTAGTAGTAATAGTGTTATCAATAAGAATCATAATGGAAGTCGTAGTACGCATAGTAGACGTAATAGGGGTCGTCGTAACCGTAGTCGTTGCAGTAGTAGCACTACTGATAGTGGTCAATGGAGTAGTAGAAATAAGAGTAGTCGTAGCAATAATAATAATAATGATAAAAATAGTAATCGTAGTCGTTGTCGTAGTCGTAGTCGTAGTAGTAGTAGTAGTAGTAGTAGTAGTAGCAGTAGTAGTAGTAATAGTAGTAGAAGAAGCAGTAGTAGTAGTAGTTGTAGTAGTGATATGCTTATTCGTACCATTATTATTATTAGTAGTAGTAGCAGTAGTAGTTGGAGTAGTAGTATTAGTGGGAATCGTGGCACTGTTCGTAGTCGCAGTACAAGTACTAGAGTAGTAGACGTTGTAGTAGTTAGTTGTAACAAGTTTAGGAGTAGTCGTAGTAGTAGTAGTAGTAGTAACAGTAGTAGTAGTAGTAGTAGTAGTAGTAGAAATAGCAATAATAGTAGTTGAAAGGGTAGTCGTAGTCGTGGTACTAGTGCCCGTGAAAGTACCAGCAGGAGGTAGTAACACTAGCAGTCGAGCGGAAGTAGCAATCGTAGTAGTAGTAATCGTAATAGTTTTAGTGGTTGTAGCAATCGTAGTAGTAGTAGTAGTAGTAGTAGTAGTCTTAGTGGTTGTAGCAATCGTAGTAGTAGTAGTACTAATAATAGTAGTCGTAGTAGTAGTAGTAGTAGTAGTAGTAGTAATAGTAGTAGTGGTAGTAGAAGTAGTAGAAGTAGTAGGAGTAGTGGTGGTACTAAAGATAAAATTGGCAGGGCTGCTTGTAGTCGTCGTAACGATAGCTGTAGTAATACCGGTAGTCTTGGCCAGAGTAACAGTAGTAGAATTAGAGGCAGGGGTCGTGGTATAAGTAGTAATACGAATGCTGGCCGTAATAGAAAAAGTATTCGGCGTAGATTACAAGAAGTCGTCGGGTCGTATTCATAAGACAAATAATCGTAGTAGCCTGTAATACGACTAGTAGTAGAGTAGTTATGATAGTATAAGAAGTAGTCGCAATAGTAGTAGTAGTAGTAGTAGTAGTAGTAGTAGTAGTATAACTGCATAGTAGTAATGCAGCAAATGTCGTGATAGTAGTAGTCCTAGTAGTAGAAGTAGTAATAGTAGTAGTAGTAACTGTGGTAGTAGGTATGGTTGTAGTCGTAATCTTCATAGCCGTACCAGGAGCAGTGGTAGTGGCAGCAGTGGTAGTAGCATTCGCAATTATAATAGTGTAGCTGTAATGATCGTAGTAACAGTAGATGTCGTAGTTGTCGTAGTAGTAGTAGTAGTAGTAGTAGCAGTCGTAGTAGTAGTCGTAGTAGTCGTAGTAGTAGTAGTAGTAGTAGTAGTAGATGTAGAACTAGCACTAGTAATAGTAGCAGTCGTAGCCGTAGTAACAAAAAGCGCAGTAGTGGTAATCGTCGTCGCAGCGCTAGTAGTAAGTCGTTGTATTACGAGAAATAATTGGTAGAAGTACTAGTCGTAGAAAAATACTGAAAGTACGAATCGGAGTTCTAGTAGTAGTAGTAGTGATAATAATAGTAATAGTAGCAGTACGAGTAGAAGTAGTATAAGTAGTATAAGTAGTAGTAGTAGTAGTAGCAGTAGTAGTAGTAGCCGTAGTGCTAGTAAATGCTGTGGTAGTAGTCCTAGTCGTAATCGTAGCCGTAGTGGTAGTAGTAGCAGTAGTAGTAGTAGTAGTAGTAGTAGTAGTAGTTGTAGTAGTTGTAGTAGTAGTCGTAGTCGTAGTAGTAGTAGTAGTAGTAGTAGCAGCAGTCGTAGTGGTAGTCGTAGTCGTAGTCGTCGTAGTGGTAGTCGTAGCCGTCGTCGTAGTAGTAGTCGAAGTAATAGTCGTCGTCTCCGTAATAGCCGTAGTCCTGCATATACCAGGAGAAGTAGAAGCAATCGTATAATTTTGAATAGTCGTAATGCCAGTAGTAGTCGTCGTGGTGTGAGAACAACATGGATGTAGTAATCAAAAGAACACCAATGATACTCATACTAAATAATCTCCGCCGCGACGGCGACGACGACGACGACGGGAAGGAGGGGAGGAGGAGCAGGAAGAGGAGCAGGGGGAGGGGCGAGTCTGTCCTCCGCCGAGAGAAACAAGGGGGTGGACCCAACACGACAGACCTCCTGAGGTTAAACCAATTCAAAAAACCCTTGGTGTTCCTGTGGATCATGACTGGCGCGCCGTCTGGCAAGGTGTCGTAGTTGGCCTTCGGCATCAGGGCATCCTCCAGGCGGCGCAAATGGCCTGTGCCAGCTTTGGTCGGCGGCAAGTGCAACTCCTGCAGGCTCTTGCGCGACCTCTTGCGGCCTGCGGAACACGTAGTGGAGCATCCGCAACGACGACACCACAACGGTACTCGAGACAGCATGAAATGGTGAGACTCATGAGCCTCCGAATTGGCCACAACAACTGCTGGTCCAGACGTCTCTGCGCCGCCCGGCCACTTCCACTTCCGTTGCAAGTCGACGTTGGCGCGCATCAGCTTCCCGCGCATGCGGTGAGGGTCCACCGGATCACTCGGCGACGGCGCCGATGTATGATTACGATACTGCCTGATATCCTCTCCGTAGGCGTCGTCGTGCTCACCAGGGCGTGGTCGTTGTTGCGCAGCCTCCAGCACTGGCTGCTCGCGGGGGGCGTCGGCACCTCGCTGCCAACGCTGGCGGCTGCACGCACATGCAAATCGCGCGGACTCCAGACAGGCCTGGCGCGAGCATCCAAGGCTGCCCGGCATCGCAACTCGCGACGATTGTGCGATCGCCTGTGCCTTGCATTCCAGTAGGGCATGCCTCTTCGGGCTCTCAGGAGGCGCGGCGTTTGCGCGCAGCGCGGAGAAGCTCTGCCTGTGCACCACCACCAAGCGCTTGAGAAGCACCCGCTGCCATTCGAATGCCAAGTCGCATGCGACGCGGCCCCGACATGGAATACGCGCCAAGTCCGCCTCGAGATCAGCAAAACGGCCTGCAAGAGCATTGCCGACCCAGTCGCGGACCTCGACGTCGCCGAAGACATCCACGGCTTCGATGTCACTGTGGGCCGAGCGAACCTCACGGACTCCAGCTGCGCCAGCCAGACGGCGCATCGCCAGCCCGATTGACTACCATAGGTCGGCGTTGTTTGCG